ACTTTCCTCTTGTCCCAGTATCATGCTCAGTCTTCCTTTGGGTTTCAGTAATTCCTCTCTTGGTTACATTATCCTTGATCACACCCTACCAGGCCTCCCGCACTCTCCTCACCACCAATTTGGATCACTTGTTCCCTTGTTCCTGGGTTTGCTAATTCTTTAGGTTTTCCTTTTTTCATTTAGATCACTTCCTTGGAATTGGGTAGAGTGTGTGGTTAATTTCCAATAGCATGTCTTCTTTTATAGATACTTAATAGCTGCATTTATTGAAGTGTTTTCCTCTGGAGGTTTGTGCATCCTGCATATTATTCCTAGTTATATTCTAAAAACCTTTGTCGATGTTATCTATTTTTTACACATTTCATTATTTGTTCCTTATTGCTGGCACCTAGAAAGATGGTTGATTCCTGTGCATTCAGTATCCAGAGACCTTGCTCAAATGTTAACTCATTCTAATGATTCCCCATCTATTCATGCATATCATTTACAAATAATAATGATTTCCTTTCTTCCTTTCCAAACTTTTTAGCCTTCACTTGCTTTCCCCACCCCTGGCTAGTACCTCTACTTCATGTTGAATAGCAATCATGATGGCAGCAAAGATCTTACGATTAAGTATTTGATTTACGGCAGTTTCTTTTCTGGTCTTTTTGAAATGCCTGGTCTTAGACTAAGGAGACTCCTGCTGCTTTTTCTTCTTTGCTGAGGAGCTATGGTTTTCCTGTGGGGTAAGCAATGGGCTGCAAGGTTGTCCAGTCAACCCCCCACCCTATCCCACCCACCAGCTGCTCCACACGAGAAAGATGTGCTACCTGCTCCCATTAAGCTATGCAGACTCCTAAGCCCTAGACTAGATGGCAGTAGAATTTTTCATTTGGAAAGAGACTGTCTTAATTTGTTTAATTAGGAATGGACATTATTTTTAATTATATAGACCAATGACTTCTTCATTGAAAACTCCTATTTTTTCAACTATTTAAACAGTGACTATCTACATGGACTTCACCAGAGAGGATCGATAGGCATCAAATGAACTATGGCTGTGGTCAGAAAGGTCGCAGCTTGAAGCCACCAGCCGCTCCTCAGGAGAAAGACGGGGCTTTCTACTCCGGTAAAGAGTTAGAGTCTCCCAAACTCACCGGGACAGTTCCACCCTGTCCTTGAGGGTCACTGTGAGTCAGCATTGGCTTGACGGCCATGAGTTTGTTTTTCGATTTGGTGGGAAAAGACAATAGAGAAGGTCCATGAGTGTCCTACCCACCTGAACTTTGAGACCACCTCAAGCACAGATTTGACATATTGGTTATTAATGGAAGAGAGTCAGATGAATTATGGGATGGTATCAGAATATGATACATGAAGAAAGCACAAGGCCATTAGAAAGATAGGAAAGAAAGACCATAGCAGATGTCAGAAGAGACTCCAGAAACTTGCTCTTGAACATAGAATAGGTAAAGCAAATGGAAAAAAAACAACGAATTAGAAGAACTCAACAGAAAATGTCAAAGGACACTTCAAAAAGATAAAGTATTTTTTAACAGTTTTATTGTCATATAATTCATATACCATACAACTCAATAGTTCAATCTTATTAAAAAGAGTAGTACAATCATCACCACAATCAATTTTAGAACATTTTCCTCTTTCTTATACTTACTGTTTATTAGCGCAGCCCTCTCCCAGATCCCCTGCTGTGCCCCAAGAAACCATTAATCCAGTGTCTATAGATTTGCCTCTCTGGGATTTCATATGCAAAAAACATACAAAAAACATTGAAGAAAAACAAAACAAAACCAGAGTAAAAAAGAGAAAAACCTCAATCAGAAAGCAGAAAATACTAAAAGCTAGAACAAATTTTAAATGGGTTGAAGTGGAGATCAAATGATAATGTGTTACATTTTAATGTAACTTCACCTGCAATAACCTACTTACCAATACACTCTGCATGATAGCTGGACTATTCACATCCCTTTCTACTATGGTCAGGGCAGATTCATCCGAGGCTTAATCCATATATGGATTAATCCATCTGCAAATGGAATTTTGACTTCCACTATCATCCATAGCCTTCTGCAAAGCAGGTATCACAATCTAATCTCTGATACTATTCCCTTCTTCAGATTTGGATTTTATTATTTACAGTCCTTGAATCACACAGGCTGATGTGCTTCTTCCATGTGGACTTAGTTGAATTCTCTCTTAGATGCTTGCTTGTTTTGGAAACAAACTTTTGTGACAATAGATGCTATTCTTTCTGATAGTTGGGCACCATCTAGTTTCTTCACCACACTTTGCTGTAGCACCCTTATCTTCAGTGATCTCTTCCTGAGGGTGAGCATCAAGCAGGGCCATCCATGTCATAAGCACTACTTGTTCTTAGATTGGGACCGGAGTTAAATGTAAGCCCCAAACCCATTCATAAATTTATGACTTATATCTGACTCTGGTTCACTTTAGAGACATCATTTTCATTTAATGTTAGAGAACATTATAAATCATCCCCTAAAGAATAAGGTAGTTCTATTGATAGTGTCATTCATTTAACCAATGGTATAGAATTTAAAACTCTGTTGAGAAAAGTAAATCATACAACTACAGGCCAGTCACACACTACATTTCATGAATCGTTGACTTGTGCAGATTAAAAGCTTAAGTGACTGAACGCTACACAAAAATCGGGGTTGGTGATAGGGCAAAACTTTCAATAACATTCATTGACAAAAGCAGAACCAGGCCTACCAGATGAATACTTGTCACAATAAAGCAAGGAGGGCATTGAATTAGTAAATATATGGTAGTCCCTGGCCACAACTCATTGGACACCCACGAGGAAAGAGATCAGAACGAAAGTCCAATGACGGGCAGTTCTATGCCCTTGGGGTAGCAGTCATCTTCTTCTTCTCATATTAGAGAGATTCAGCCTTAAGTCCAAGGGCTTCAGGTGATTTTGAGGTAACCCTAGTTCACTTAGTGGGGTTTCCATACTGAGTCCTTCTGGTGTGGCCTGTGAACGATGTGTGCCTTGACCAGAGTCTAACGTCCCAGGATTCCATAGCTCATGGCCTGGGTCCTCAAGGACTGGATAGATACTAGGTCAAAAGTTTCCAGTTAGGAACACAGTACTGAGCAGATGCTCCCCTTGGGTGCTATATTCATATTGTTAAAAACATTTCCCCCCCCAATGGGAGGTTGTTCCTCCCTGTTTACCCACTCACAAAAATGTAGTCAAGATAAAGTATCATATTGAAATGTGCAAAGACTTGGAGTTAGAAAACTGAAAAGGAAGAACATTCTCAGCTTATCTCAAGCTGAAAGAGTCGAAGAAAAAGAAGGCTATGGGAAAAATATTGAATGATATGGGAAGCATCAAAAGGAGGTGGAGGACTATACATAGTCCAGAAGAATGTTCAACTATTTCAAGAGGTAGCTTATGAACAAGAACCAATGGTACTAAAGGAAGAACTTCAAGCCTCCCTGAAGGCATTAGCCAATAACAAGGCTCTAGGAATTGTTGGACTATCAATTGAAGTGTTTCAACAAGCTGATGAAGCTCAGGCAGCACTCCCTACTCTGTTCCCCAATCTTGCCCTTGGGGCATTGTGGGATTCAGTACCTCTCATCTGTTGGTTTTGTTGCTATTGGTTGCCTTGGAGCCAATCCTGATGGCAATCTATACACAACCGAGTGAGATGCTGCTTGATCCTACACCCCCATGATTGGTTGTGCATCCAACCACTATCATCCATAGGATTTTGATTTGCTGGATTTTGGGTGTACTTTGCCATGCCTTTCTTAGTCTTCCTTAGTCTTAAGGATGTTGGTTAGAATATGAGGGAGATTCCAAAAGTTTGTGGAAAACCGAGAAAAAGATAATGGCTTTTCCTGTGTTTTTTAAAATTTTTATAAATCCTCTGTTACTTTCAAAGTTCTCTTCTCTTCCATGCATCTGTTTTTCTTGGCATCTCTGTTTGTATCACTCAATTTGTTGTTTTCATTGGTGTGGTTAGCTTTTCTTAAATGGCACGATGAGCCTTGACTTCACAGTTATTAGTAAATACTGAATAACCAGTGGGGATTGGTATAGGTAGTTGGTATTGGGTTCCTCTGCTACTTTGATCTCTTTCTAGGAACGCTTTCTCCCTAAATAAGGGGGTGGGTTAGCTTGCGTCTTCAGGAGTATTGTAGGGGGAGTGACTTCCACAGTTACGAAGACTTTGAAAGGATTTACTTATCCTTGAGGTGATGCCTTTATTTCATTCCTGGGAAGAACTGCTTTGCCTTTTCATTTTCTTCGGCGGCAGTGGTGGAGGCCTGGAGCTACTTCATGCTCTTTTCAACACTTTCTCTTTAGCTCCGCTGGATAGACTCGAAACCCTGGTGTTTTCAGGGTTACCATCGGAGCAAAAACCTACCTGGCAACAACTTGGGATATGCTGAGAGGTCAGGAGGACTGGCTCACATCTGCTGCACCAACCCTTTGCTTGCAATGACCTTGATAAAAGCTTCCAAACTCATCCATGTTCTTTGTACTTCCTATCCCCGAGTTTGGATCTTCTCCTGACTTCTTTGGTGGAAAATAACTTGCTTCTACAGCAGTGTTCTTCCGTGTGCATCTCCATTATCGATCCCCCATGCTCTCGTCAGTCTTATCCTAGATATTTTTATTTCCCCAAGAATTCATGAAAAAAAATTCATGAGCTTTTCTTGGTCTCAGAGCTGTTATAAGCTTTCTTTTCTTTTGTCTTTTCAGTGTGTTTTTGTTCACTCTACCGTCTTAAGCTGGGAAGGCAGCGAGTTTTTATGGCTGCATCTCACTCACTGCCATTGACTCCATCTCTACTCTCAGGGACCCTGTCAGACAGCACAGCACTGCCCTGTGGATTCGGAGACAGGGACTCTTCCCGAGAAGAAACCTCACCTCTCTCCTACAGAGCAGCTGGTGGTTTCAAACTACGGACCTTGCTTTTCGCAGCTCAAGCCCAACACATAGTCCACTATACAACCAGAGTGAAAGAATGAGTTAATATTTTATGATGCTATAATAATGGCACTTTAAAAAGAAGCAAAATCCTAACTTTGGACACGTAATGCTGTTTAGGTGTCGGAAACCAGATAGGTTGACGCTTTCTTTTAATCATCGTTGGATAACTCACTTCCACGTGCGTTTGTCTCCGGCAAAGTCACCTTTCCTATTGCTGGGCACATATTAGCATTACTAGTACTATTATAAGGAGTCCTGGTGACATAATGGGCTACACACTGAGGTGCTAACCACAAGGTCAGCAGTTCGAAGCCACCAGTCATTCTGCCAAAAAAAAAAAAAAAGATGTTGAGTCCGACTCCTGGAAAGTCTCGGAAACCCACAGGGGCAGTTCTACCCTGTCCTATAGGGCCGCTGTGAGTCAGAATCAACTCAGTGACCGCAAGTTTGTTTTTTTGAGAAGCTTAGGCTTTCTCAGTGTTAAACTATATTGTGTGTGCAGCATCTATTTGAGCCTCTGCTTGCCTGCTGCCCAGCCACGGGTCTTGGGAGGCAAAGGAAACAGGAAGGACATTCTCCTTGTGCTTTGAGTATTACAGTCTTTTTACTCTGACCCAGGAACCTTGAGTCTTCCTCCACCATCCATAAAATTCGCAGGCTAACTTGTTAGCATTCAGATCTGGTCATCTGCAAGCCTTCGTATTGAATGATCCCATTGAGGGGAAAAGACAGAAAAAGAGAGCCGACACAACATGCATGGGTTCTGTGGCAGTACAAGCACACATATAGTTTTATTAGAATATATGAAGATCCTTTAAGAAATGTCATTTGCCTTCTAGTGTTCAGTTCTTCCTTTTCTTTTCACCCTAGTGCTGAGTTTCATGACCGGCTAAGTAAAATCGATAAACTGAAGAACAGATATGAAATTCTGACTGTGGTGATGCTGCCTCCCGAAGGAGAAGAGGAGAAAACACAGGCCTATTATGTCATCAAGGTAGACTATTGACTCGCAGAAATGATCGCATCAGGTCCCCTCTCTTTACTGGCTCACACACAGTAGTCCTCAGGATGTCAAACCACCAAAATGGTCACCTTCCTTTATTTTTGCCAGGCCATCTGGCTCTTGGCTTTCAAGCAACTGTTGCACTTGGGCCAGGTATGGAAGCACTGTTTTTAGCTAGCCTGGTCTTAAGTCACCACAGTCTTACTCCCTGAGGAATTTCTGACCTTCAGAAACGTATTGACGTCATCATTTCTAGTCACCTTTATCACAATTTCTCTAGTTTTAAGAAATCGTTTGGCTCCTTAAAGAGATTGACATCCTGCTTCAAACAACAACACATACCTGGGGGGGAGGGGGGGAGGGGCGGGCAAGAGCATTTGTTTGCCTGGATGTACCTTGCTCACCTTTCACTCCAAGATTTCACAAGCTGGGAAAGTGTCCCTTGACTACTTTCTTCTGATTTAAAACCCAGTCTCAAATCTCCCTCTCGCTCAAAAAAACCTCACTGCCATCGAGGCAATTCTGATTCAAATCCACCGTATAGGCAGTGTACCACGGCCTCTTTGGGTTTTCCAGGCTGTCAATCTTTACAAGAGCAGAAAGCCTCATCTATCTCCTTCGGAGCAGTTGCTGAGTTCAAACTGCTGGACTTGCGGTAACAGTCTAACTCAGAATCCACTATGCCACCAGGGCTCTGTAACCTCCCTCTAGTTTACTGAATTTTCTCTCTGCTAAAATGTGTACCTGCTGAATCTGGGGACAGTTTTCACTGGAAATGTTTGTGTCAGCTTTGGTTACTACATTCCATCATGCTTTTCTATCTTCTGTGCCATATTCGAAGGCCCAAGGATGTCATTTCTACTCTAAATCTGGTGCAAGAAATAAATGCTGGGTGCTCTATATAGGCCCAGAGCAAACTGAGTTCACTTTTTTCTGCTGCAAAGACATCTTCTCCCATGATAAATACTTTTGTTAGGTTCAGTTCCGTTCTGTATTTTATAGGCTGCTCAAGAAAAAGAGGAACTTCAAAGAGAAGGTGACAGTTTGGATGCCAAGATCAACAAAGCGGAAAAAGAGATCTATGCTCTAGCAAACACCTTGCAAGTGCTGAACAACTGCAACAAGAATTACAAACAGTCTTTTAAAAAAGTGACGCCCTCCAGTATGTGTCAAGCATTAAATTATTTGATGAACATATGCCATGAAACCTGTATAGTTTTGTACTTTCCAAACACTGTGATACATGGAAAATAGGTTCCAGGTTTGACTGGGCCAGAGAAATGATCCTTCTCTCCCCACCCCCATTTGTTTGGTTTTTTTTTGCCAGCGGCCTGCCAAGGTGCTGTTGCCATTATTAAAGTGGCATATTATCTCTTCTTTGGGGAATTGATTTCAAATATGAAAAAAAAGTACAGCATATTGTCACTGTTAGAAAAATAAGGAAGGACGATTATGTAGTTTTTTTTTTTTCCTACAAGTAGAAATTAACCTTTTATAACATGTTAGAAGCCATCTATTTACATATTTCAACATTGGTTTCCACAAGGTACATTGGAAAATTAAAATAAATATTCTGTAAATTCCAGGTGATGAGTATGAGCTAAAGATCCAACTAGAGGAACAAAAGAGAGCTGCTGATGAAAAATACAGACACAAACAGAGACAAATCAGAGAGCTTCAGGAAGATATCCAGGTGAATTTTATCGGCTATTATCTACGCTTCTTTTTCCGACTCAAGGTGACCTGACACGTGGGAGCACAGCGAACGTGCTCCACAGGGCGTCCATGGGCTGTGTGTCAGGAGCTTGCAACCCTGCTTGCACCTCCACCTTTTGGGTGTCATGTTCATCCTTTGATTTACTCAGGGTCTCCATCTATTATGGAAGCAGGTTGTAAAAGAAAAGTCTCAATAAATGAGAGGAATTAAATGATCAAAGTATTAAGGAAATTAGTTAAAATCCCTGTGCTAAGGATTGTTAGTTAATGGATCATAGCTAATTAATTATGATCTACCCACCTATCCTATTTAATGACTTTTTACTTAGTTCCTTAAGGATCACGTGGAAGATTGCTCTTTAAAGTTAAAAAATGAAATTTGGGGGGAGTGGAAAAATGAGAAGCTGATATTAAGGGCTCAAGTAGAAAGCAAATGCTTTGAGAATGATGGTAACAAATGTACAAATGTGCATGACACAATGGATGTATGTATGGATTGCGATAAGAATTGTATAAGCCCCCAATAAAATGATTAAAAAATAAAATAAAATTTGAGCTCCCCAAGGGAGTGCAAAGGATAGATTCTGGGGCCAGAGCGTGGCATCCCATCGGACTTGATTGAAGCACACGCCTAGAGATCAAAAACCAGACTTTGATCTATTTACAGGATTTTCTTTCCTTTAAAATTTTTTTTTTTCTTTTTTAAAATTAATTTATTATTTTCTGGGTCACTAGTTTTCTTTTTTTGTTGTCATCGTTATGTTCTCTTTTGTTGCTTTATCTTGCTATGCCTCCTTTTTTGGGTGCATATTATTATCTCTGCAGCTCTATCTAGATAAGACAGGCTGGATGAACAGTCTGGAGGAGAAAACAACGGGACCAATGGTTCCAGGGGGTCATGGGAGAGGGGAAGGTGGGGGAAAGCAGGTGGTGTTGACCAACCCAGGGAAAGGGAGCAACAAGTGATCCAAAATTAGTGGCAAAAGGGTGTGAGAGGCTGGGTAGGGTTTCAGCAAGGGCAATGTAACCGAGAAATTACTGAAACCCAAATGAAGGCTTAGAATGATAGTGGGACAAGAGGAAAGTAAAAGGAAATAGAGGAAAGAACTAGGGAGCAAAGGGCATTTATAGAGGTCTAAATAAAGGCATGTACATATGTAAATATATTTATATAGGATGGTGGGGAAATAGATTGACATGCATATATTTATATGTTTAGCATTAAGCAGCAGATGGACATTGGACCTCCACTCAAGGACTTAACTCAATGAACACTTTGTTGTACTAAATTGGCATTCCATGATGTACACCTTCCTGACACGATCGCTGAAGACAAATGTGTGCATAAGCAAATGTGGCGAAGAAAGTTGATGGTGCCCAGCTATCAAAAGATATAGTGTCTGGGGTCTTAAAGGCTTGAAGATAAACAAGCGGCCATCTAGCGCAGAAGCAACAAATCCCACACCTGGAAGAAGCACACCTGCCTGTGTGACCACGAGGTGTAGAAGGGATCAGGTATCAGGCATCAAAGAACAAAAATCATATCATTGTAAATGAGGGTGAGTGCAGAGTGGAGACCCAAAATCCATCTGTAGGCAACTGGACACCCCCTTACAGAAGGGCTCGGGGAAGAGATGAGCCAGTCAGGGTGCAGGGTAGCAACGATGAAACATACAACTTTCCTCTACTTCTTAAATGCTTCCTCTCCCCACTATCATGATCCCAATTCGACCTTACAAATCTGACTAGACCAGAGGATGTACACTGATACAGATAGGAACTGGAAACAGAGGGAATTCAGGACAGATGACCCTTTCGGCACCAGTGGTGAGAGTGGCAATACCTGGAGGGTGGAGGGAAGGTGGGGTAGAAAGGGGGCACTGATTACAAGCATCTGCATAGAACCTCCTCCCTGGGGTATGGACAACAGAAAAGCGGGTGAAGGGAGATGTTGGACAGTGTAAGATATGACAAAATAATAATTTATAAGTTATCAGGGTTCATGAAGGAGAGTGGAGTAGGGAGGGAGGGGGAAAATGAAGAGCTGATATTAAGGGCTCAAGTAGAAAGAAAATGTTTTGAGAATGATGATGGCAACAAATGTACAAATATGCTTGACACAATGGATGTATGTATGGATTGTGATAAGAATTGTACAAGCCCCCAATAAAATTTTTTTTAATGAAAAAAATAAAATAAAATAAAATTTGAAGACAAAGATAATCTAGTATTAAGGTATAGTGTTACTAAAGCAAATGACTGATTAAAAGAATGTGCCTGGTAAGCAGACCCATATAAAAACTACATTACTAATGGATCAGATGATATAAATTATAAATTATGAATCTTTGAAAACGCCATGTTCTCATTATTTTTATATCCCCCCCCCCCCCCCAGTATACTCAAAGTGCTTTCCAGTGGAATTATATCCACTTATATAATTATATAAAGTAATCTGTAAGACTATTATACATATCCTCCAATAAGGGAATGTGTATTATACATAAAGGAGCCCTGGTGGCCTAGTGGTTATACACTGGGCTGCTAACCATTAAGGTCAGAAGTTTGAAACCACCAGCTGCTCCCAGGGAGGAAGACGGGCTTTCTACTCTCATAAGGAGTTGCAGTCTCAGAAATCCACAGGGCCAGTTCTGCCGTGTCCTACTGGGTTGCTATGAGTCAGCATCGAGTCCATGGCAGTTTAAAAAAAAATTACCTATAAAGATAAATGAATTATAACTAAACCAATATTTGACGGATGGCAAGCTGTATCATTAAAATTACCAATAAATATATTGTTGTTTTAATCCCCTTTTTCCCCCATACAGAACATGGAAAAGACTTTACAAGTTATAGGCAATTTAACAAATAATATCCAGGAAAAAATATTGGAAAAGAAGGCTTATTCATTTCAACTAAATAGAGAAATTGAGGAGCAGAAGCCAAAATTAGACAGAGCAACTAAACAGGTACTGGTGTCTTTTAAAAATGGACTTTACAGTTTTTTTTTTTTTTAACAAATGGTTAACCCCCAAACTCCTTCACCATTCGCATAATATATTGTTCTGAAAAACATATTTATATAACTGCCTATTATTGGCCAACAGTGTTCAAAACTCACCAAGGAAATCCGCCTTACAAGACACACTACACATGAAATATTAGAAGAAAAAGACATCATGTTTCGTGAAGTGAAACAATTTCACAAGATGATTGATAAGATGTTGATTGATGTGATAGAACAAAATCCTGATATCCATTTTGTCCTTCAAACATATTTTCAACAGGTAATAGCAGTACCTTTCTTCTGTTGCATGAATGTTTCTTAAATGTGAAATATTAACTTTATCATAAAGGAAAATATCTTTTCCCCCCTAAAATGCAGTACTGCTAACGATCACTATTGACTACTATTCTTCCAGAATGGTTTAGAACTACCTACAGCCAGCAGCAGCAAAGGGAGTGGCCAGAGTTCTAGAGCTTCTTCACAGGCTTCTGTGCTGTCAGCAAAGTAAGTAGAGGGCTCCACACCAAGGCCGAGTTATAGTTGGTAGCCTACGGGATCCAGCTCCTTCGGCACTGGCAGAGCTGTTGGAACTACCAATGCAGGGGTACAACGTGCTGTGTTCGTGTGTGTATACAGATATGAAATTTGGCATTGCTGGGTCACATGGTATTCCTACATTTGACTTTAGAAAGCCCTGAGCTATTTTCCACAGCATCTGTCCCATTATACACGTTATCACTAATACTTGCTTCTTTTTGATAACCATCTTTATTGTGGTTCACACCTGCATTTCCCTGATGGCTGATGTTCTTTTTCATATATTTGTTGGCCATGTGTTATCTTCTTTTGAAAAATGTCTGCTTTTTGCCCAAATGTTTCTTTAAAAACTTACCATTTCAGCTGTTTTCTAAATTTGGTGTCCTTCAATAACACGATTGACAAGGTGGACTAACATAAAAGCTGATGCCACAGTGGGCTCAGTTTGCTTTATTTCCTTTAGAAAGTGGTAATTTGATTTTGAAAGTCTCCAAGCTCTCCCACTCTACAAGACCCCAGTCTTTCAATTATTTGATGTCTTCCTCAATGACCAGCACCCCCCCCCCCCCCCCCCCCCCCCAAGGATTCCGGTCTTATACAGAAACTCATTAGTGAACTACTTTTCCACTGGTTTTAAACTCAAGATTCACTATCCTTGTTTCTCCTATTAAAATGGTCATGCTTTTAAATGTTTATATGAAATTTAAATTTGTTATCGTTCTCTCTTCTAGGTCATCTAGGAGTGCCACAAGCACTTCTGCTTTACAGGCTCCGGTTAAAATACTGGAGCTGAAATTCCCGGACTCCCCTCCAGTAGCAGATGGCACTTCGAGGCCAGGCAGTGCTAGCAGTAGCTCCAGTAATGGTAAAAGCAAAAAGAGCAACAAGTAAATAGATCTATTTTTTGATCAATTTATTAAAGAACGTCAAAGGGGAAAATTTCACTCTCTCCTGGAGTCATAATGAAAAATATTAGAAACAAATACCAGATACAAATTTTAGCCAGGAGAAAAGAGAAAGCACACATGGAGTTAAAAAAAATTGAACTTAGGTCCAAAGTAAGTAAAAGGAACATTTACTTTCCTTAACTTTTTTCTACTATAGACTCTTAACTCTACTTGAATTGTAAGTTACTTTAAAAGATCCTGAAATTAGATCTTCCTTGAAGAAACATACCAGACTTTTCAGGGGTCCTCAAACTAAAACAGGGGGCCAGTACACTGTCCCTCAGACTGTTGGAGGACTGGACTATAATTAAAATAAAAAACTATGAACAAATTCCTATGCACACTGGACGAGTCGGCTGCTAAGCAGGACAGGCAGCAGTGGCAAAAACACCCGGCAGGCTGGATGTGGCTCACGGGCTGTAGTTTGAGGACCCCTGCTTTGGAGGAAGGAAAAATAATCTGTAAATTATTTAACTACACTATTACTGACCCTCTTTCCCAAACCTGATAGAAAAGAGAATTGGAGCTCAATAAAAAACACAACATAACCAATTCAAACACACACAAAAAAATGTTCTCTTAAGGTATAACCAAGTGTAATGAAATTAGTGAAGCTATCACCAGGGACCAACATTGTAAATCCTCAACCTGTTCTGTGACAAGCTTTCTGAACCTCTTCTTAGGATTGGCCTTATCCTTTTGCTTAACATGCCCTAGGAAAGCAGTTCTGGTGAAGAACTTCTGAATTCAAGCAGCCTGTTTGGTACCCGAGTAGTCAAAGCAGCAACTTTGGATAAGGCAATGCTGGTGGCTGTGATTCAAAAAGGTCAAGGAATATGGCAAGAGGCATTTTTTTTCTTTGTACACTCAGTACTTAAAATGTTTGGTATTACAGTTGGCAAAAATGAGGCGATAACGTTGCTTCTTTATCATCCTTTCACTTTGGCCTTTAGATGAATACCCACCCACTCCATCCAGTGCCGTCATGAAGAACAGTACTAAAGGCCCATGTCATTTACAACTCTTAGCAGCTTAAATTGGGAATATTGTAATCCACCTGCCCATGACTCCTCTCTCTCCCCCAAAGTACATTATTATATTGCTTACAGTTACTTTGCGAGCGGCCTTAAGATTGCTTTTCTTTAGCTCTAGGTGTTGTACTTTTTTTTCTGAGTTTGGGACAAAACACCACATAGCCTTTTATTCACAGATCTGAGAATGGAGGCATCAGGGAGAGAAAGGGAAAACAAGTATGGATGGAGGCTCACTGCAGGCGACCTGAAAATATGCCGTTCCTCTAAGTGGGGCACTTTACAATACTAGGAGCTCCCCACTTGTGTCTAGAGGAAACCAGCTATCTAGTGTGCTGCTGTCACTGCGATGCGCTTGTTTTGTGATTTACTCTTGCCTGGGACAAAGCAGTCTCCATGGTCTTGCCAATAGGTAACGTTAAGAACTTTGTGAGGCTAGAAATACTATGAGTAAACACAGTAACCGAGAAACAGGTAAAACGGGCTCCTACTCTGCCTCCTGGCTTTATTCCTGACATAGTGAAGCACCTACTCGAACCGGGGAGAAAGCACCGGCACCAAAAACACCATTTTAGTCAAAACAGGTCTTAGTGGCCAATTAAACAAGACACCAAGCTAAAAAAAAAAAACCAGACAAACGGATGCAAAATGGTACCTTAAGAAATATTCAAATGTAACCCTACAGCTACGGGTGTTTAACAGAGAAGAATTGATGGAAATAATTCAAGTGTTCAACACAAATTTATTCTCTGATCAGCAAGAATAAGGTGGATCCAAGCATTCTTATGAGCCATTATACAATGAAGGAAGGAACAATGCTTTCAAATAACTGTTAGGTGAACAAGTCATCAGAGTTGGAAATGCTATACATAAACATCCATGAAAAACTTAAACATCAAGCTGTGAAAAGCAGACCTAGAACCCAAACAAATATAATTTGGGAAAAAGCAAAAAATCGTTTTGCTTTTCATATTCGTCTCAAATAAAAGTATAGGAGCAACGACTTCTGCAGGAATCGCTCTAACTACACTTCAAGTCTTTAGTGTGATGATGGTGCTGATTTCCTTGGCATATTTATTTATTTTTTGGCTTATTTCCTTTTTCTTTCTCAAACTCAGCTATCTGATTAAATATATTGAGTAAATTTTGGGGTAAGTTCTTTTTCACTCTTTCTGGTTGGTCTTTGCTACTTGGTCTATCTTCTCCCAGAGCCTCTGTTTTAAGATCTTCCCCGCCATTGTCCTCTCTTTCATACTCTCCCTGATTTGCATTTAATTGGTACCTCTGCTCAGGTTTAAAGAAATCACGTGATCCAGAATAAGCACATTTTTTATATTTTTCAAGTGACTTCCCAGAGCATTCTGAGCTTGCTGGTGAAGGGGGTTGTCTCCCTGAACCTGGCTCCCATCTTCTAGAATGCTCTTTTCTCCCCTCTACATCCCTGTCAAATCTCCTATTACCATAATTTCGTATCTTGTCCTCTGAGCTCCTAAAAAAGGATTCTGAGGAATCTCTCCTATTGGTAAAATGTCTTTCTGATTTATATGGCTTTTCTGTTTTGCTACTACCTGCCTGAGTTTTATAGCTATTATAAGAATCTCTTGAATCTTCAGACCTACCTCCAAAATCATCCGGAATTTCAGCTGAAGATGAACAGAGAGAGTATCTATCTTTCTCTTTTACCTGTGTCTTTGGATAGGGTAATCTATCTTGCTTTTCTAAGAACTTTTCCACTTCTTGTTTTTGGTTAAGGAAGGATGCTGTCGTATTGATTGGAAGAGGGTAGTACTCCTCTCCCCTGTCATCATCTACCTGACTTGAGGATGCCTTAGAACAATGCCTTCTGGAACTTCGAGAAGATTCTGAACGGCTCTTCTTATGTTTCTTATGCCTTCTGTGACTGGAAGAGGAAGATGATGAAGAAGAAGAAGCTGATTCATCAGTAGACGAAACACTCGAGGAGGAGGAAGTTGATTTTCTTTTTTTCTTCTTTAACCTAAAAGAAGGTAGTCAACTCATCAGATAAGTCCAAAAGGTTTCTAAATTACCGATAAAGGTTTTGGTACTCCTTTTTCCCTTTAAAGATTTCTTAAAACTGTAACATGGACAGATGATAAAATAATAACCAATAATACAAGATTAACTTTACCATTAGTCATGACTTTTAAGAACACAAAAACTTCTGTAGAAAGTGTTACAGTAAGCAAATCCATCATTCTCATAATAACTTAAAAGGTCCCTACACATACACAAAAGAGAACTGAAATATAACACCTGATTATATTTTTCCACCTCAGCCTTGACATCTTGTGCTCAATAGTTCTATACAGTGAGGAAAACTGTCCTGTGCATGGTAGAATGTTTCGCAGTATCCCTGTCCTCTACCCACTAGATGCCAGTAGCTATCTACCAGTTATAAAACAGTCACGCTCAGCTGAGAAACACTGCTCTAAATCTTAAGCTTTCTACTTAAAAAAAGAGACAAAATAACTCATTATATATTTTAATGCTAAGGTTAAATTTAAGGGGCCAGAATTCTAGCCTTACATTTTCACTATCCTTAATCTCTTTTTATAGAAAAACACAGGGACCACAATTCACTTGCTAAGAATTCTTAACACCCATTAACACTTGAAATACTCTGATTTTAAATTTTTACTTACTTTGCTTCCATATGGCACTTTGGTTCAACTCAGCAGTGGCTTTAGGTTAAAAAAAATACACCGAATATTATAGTTTACCTTTTCTCCTCTTTTAAGAGCTTACGCAATTTTTCTGCACTTGTTTCTATTTTCTTTGTTTTCTGTTTTTCTTCCTTTTCAGCTTGTTTTTCTCTTAATTCCAAAGATTTCTTTTAGAACCCAGATATCAGAAAAAACCACACGTTAAAAATAGATGACATAACACCCAGTATTCAACAAACCAGTCCCCAACCAGCAACCAGGTTTAGTATACCCCAAATCACCATATATCCAGTATTAAACAAATGTTTTTAACATGTGAAAAATTAATCATTCAAATGTTTGGCATTAATCATACAGATGTTTGGCATTAATCATTGGAATGGCCAGAACAGTATTGAGGACCATATTGCAGTTGGCATTCCATGAAAAAAAGAGGAAACCATTGCATTGGTACCCACAACCCAGAGGGCAAGAAATAAGTAAATAGTAAAATAGCCCAAGAATTATTAAAAATAAGTAAATTAAATTTTAAATAGAATACCAATTTTACAAGTTAAAGAAATCCCATCAAGGTGGATTGAGGGAGAATCACCATGTTCATATACAAACCATGTAAAAATAGCATAGCCCGTTGGATGCATGATCACACAAGAAACCATTTTCCAGTGTGTGGATGGGGATGAGCAGCACCAGATGTCAGACACAGCAGCAATGGTCCAATTCAGAAGAAAATGCATGAGAAAACATCATCATCAGTATTACAGGAAAAGACAATTTAACGTACTTCTCAAAAATAGCTCAGTTACATTAGCAACACTTACAACTGTTACCCAACAGGAAAGCTTACTATAATAAAGATGTCAAAACCACATACCAAACTTAAGCATCAAAATTTTCTCATAGCCTTTTTTCTAAAAAAAATTTTTTTAGTACTAACAAATAATCATGAAGAAGCATTATGAAGTCAATTTCAAATCCAATTAGTAAAAGATGTATCTCAAATGAAGAATGTTTACATAGTGCATCATTACGTTTTCTACGAGTTTACTCTAGAAAAAAGTTAAGTTTTGGAATTAATTTCAATTCTCATGAACTTTCTAAGAGGAAATAAAAAATCACCTGCATATATTTATGAAGTTTCTGCAGAGCATCCTCTGCGTCTGTGAAAGTCTCGTCCAGAGCCAAGGCTTTCTTATAGTAACTTTCAGCATTTAAAAACTTTTCTTCTTCTTCTAACCTGTTATTTGGAAGGAAGATAAAGCTTTCAAACAAAAAGTCCCCCAGATACTTATGAGAGAACACATCAAGAAAAAAATATTTAGGGGTCCCTGCCCACCCCCAACTAAACAATACCTGCATTGTGCTTTTTACTCATCTATCTGGAAAAAGGGGGCTATATAGGACACCAAGAATTAAACTGTAGACAAAAATAGCCCCCAAATGCTTCTTAAAACCAAATAGTTTAATTTACCAAGTAAAGTCTGCCTGCTACTTTGAGAAATACATTATTAGAGCTCTCTGACACTTACTGTCCCCCTCTTTCTACAAGTGTCTGGCAGAGATATTTTCTTGCATTCCTGTGAGTTGGGCAGTTCTCCAGTGCAAGTTCAAAGTCTTCTATGGCTTTGTTCAGACTTCCTTTCGTTGCATATCTAGAAACACGAAGAAACCACACTAGATAAATGCATCTATGAGCTACATGTTTATCTTAAGCACATCTACCTTGTAAACATTTAAAGATTATGAATTACTTACAATGCTCCACGAGCTACTAAAGCTTCCACATTTTGCTTGTCTATTTCCAGTGCCTTATTGTACTCATTCATAGCATCAACATGGCGTCCAACCTTAAAATAATCTACTCCAATCTTCACACTAAAAAGACATTTTGTAAAGCGTTGCAATCATTCATAGAATATCTAAATAAAATGCTTAGTATGGATAAATTTGAAAGCAAGGGTCATCAAATTTGGCAAATACTTTGCCTTTAAATATCTGCCTAATAAATACTATTGAAACCCAGCTATTAAATATACTAATTATTTTAGGAAAAAAATGAACAAAGTGTGAATAAAACTTTAATCTGTTAGGTTTAAAACAAATACCACTTACATTCATTAGAAAGTCTGGGACAGAGACGTATTTTACTTCATTTGTAAACATACTTGGTGCCTTAATGGTGAGAGGGAATGCTTGCCTTACCCCCAGCCTTTTAGACAATAAGGTTGTTGAAAGACAAAGTCTTCAGTCTACATGAGTTTATAATAAGGTCATAAAGTACCAGGTCAGATCACATTTTTATCTACAGATTGCATATACAATATAGACTGCATATCTACCAATAATGTATTAGAAACTAAAACTTTAAAAAATTTAATTCTTTAATTTACAATAGAATCAAAAGCATGAAATTCGTAGAGGATAAATTTAATATGTGCAACATATGAATGCTGAAAATAAAATACATTGAGGAATCAAGAAGCTCTAGATAAAAAAATATTCCATGTTCATGGAAAAAGAAAGTCCTCCTACCATTTTAAGGCCCAAGATGCAGACTGTTTCTTTCTTAACGCAGAAGCATAATCATCTTCAGAGAAATTTTTGCTATTAAAGGAAAGAAATCAAACTGAAAATATCTTTTTAAGAACACTATTACCTTCACTGTGCTCAACAGCCACTCAGCAAAAGAATGAATTCTAAGCAAGAAATTTTTATTCTACGTATGGAACAAAATGCTTGAACTGTCATGTTTCTGCAGAATAAACATTCCTATAAGTTTCTATATATAGCCATGCGCCCCATAATGTCTGCTCATGGCAACGTCCAAATGCACAAGTTTGTGTTCCCAAAATGTTCTAATAAAGTTCATAAATCCTGATTAAATAGGATGTAGTGAATCAAGCAGCTTCCCACATGCAACATGTGCCTCCTGTCTCTTCTATAAACAGCAATTATGCCAGGTGTGAAATGGTACATACACAACCTAAATGTCCTAATTGTCATAATAAGACATAAATGCCTGTTACTGGCTTATGAATGTACTTTCTATCTTAAGAAGTTTATTGTGTTACACAGTTGTATGCGTCAACTCATAGGCAGCAGTATCCAATCTCGTGCACTGAGTCTCTACAGACGTAGCACTATCTTTCTGTTCTATATTCTTTGGGAAATTTTACTGTGAAGCTCCTCGTGGCTCACAAATGCAGCAAAACTTGTTAGTGACAGCAGCAGCAAGAAGCAAAGGAGAAGTATTGATCTGAAAGCGAAACGAAACTTACTAAACAGGTGGAAAATCAGTGAATGATACTGATTGCACCTTACTCATGCTGTACCTGAGGACCATGATGATCCTCAAAAGCAAAGAAAAAATTATGCCAGTCATTAAAGGATTGGCGCCACTGAAAGCAAATGGCAAATAAAAGTGCTAGAGATCTGTGTCAGATATGGAAAAACAGATAACGAAGCTAACGATGTGGATTGAAGACTCAACACAAAAAAGAATCCCTAGTACACTGACAATCACTGCCAGAAATGGAGATGTTTAAAAGTAGGACCAGACTACGATATCGTATTCACACACAACACCCAAATTTCAGTGTATCACGCATGACTGTAGCTCTCTTAGTCACACTATTGACACTTAAACATCAATAAGACATTTCATTCTAGGTCATGGGATCACCTGGTTCACCAAACCTATTGTTGTAAGCAGGCAGAGACTGGCCCCCACCACCTGAGAGAACACTGCTTTACTATACCTTTGTAGGCCTCTCATTAAAGAAGGAGGATTAGATTCATCGATTCCTAGTTTTCCTAGAAGGTATTCAACTACTCCTGGATTCACGAACCCTAAGGAACTCTGCATGATATTTTCATAGGACTCCAAAGAGTTGCTGTCCAGTTCAACACTCTTCCTTAAAAAAAAAAAAAATCACAACAAAAATAAATACAACTAATATGAAGATCCCTGTACTTAATTCTCCAATTGTTATGAGTATTTTTTGTCCATGATAGTTAATTAGCATGTCTCATTTTACTAACGAGATAACATGAACATAAGAATTTCAATACACATACTATATGCACATAAAAATGTGGCTATATTACATGGTTCCATTTATCAGGTTTAAAGTAATTTTAAAGTTTATAAAAATAAAGCAATCACATTTTACAGTAAAAAAAATTACCTCCAACTGTTTTTGAACTTACTATCTTATAAACTATTGCTGAAACAACTGGGATAAATTACCTGTAGTACAAAGGAAGCTCTTCAGAAGTAATTACACCCAATTTAATACTTGCTAAGTGCGGTGGAAGGGATGAGCTATACAGAGATACTGCAAGCTTTTCATGGTATCTGTCAATATCCTTGATTCCAGCTAAAAAATTTGAGAACTAATCGGTTAATATGAAAATGCAAGTTAAAATACAACAGCAAGTACTCCAACATGCTGTATGTTCAAAATTGTAGAAAACCGATTATTATTACTAATTATTATTAATTATGATGAAACTATTCACCTCGGATGATGTCACCAGTTTGGTAATATGACAGAGGATCACCATGGTTACTATGAGGAGGCACATCTCTCAATGGACAAAGAGCCTGCAACAATTTTTAAAAAACATTGTGTCATTCTTTGAAAGTGACAGTGTCTTCTTACTCTGTTTAGCATAACAACCAATAGTTAACATACAGATTAAAAACCAATCACTACATATTAACTACAAACTAGCACTGTTCCTTTCTAATAAACCTTGAAGACTAGCCAGCACACTAAGGCCTAATTAAATAAGAATTTTAATTATAAGTGATTTTTCTGTCAAGCACATGGTTCCTGGTTCACTATGGACAGACTCTAAAATATTATGAAACTGTCTGTTAGTTTTAGGAAACAAATTTAAGTAAGTTATGTAAAGTAAAAGGTATTTTGCAATTGTCAAAAATTAAAAAAATTTGTCTAGGGAGTATAAAGGTCCCAATCAAAATGAGAAACCAATCCCCCAAAGTTTCTACGCCCCTTATGCCTTCTGCTTTTCTTCCTTTTTAGCTCTCTGGATAGATTGTAAATACCAACAGTTTGAAGCTACATATTATTTCAAGTTCAGGACTATTCATTGTGGGCAAAGCACCTTATAATGTGCAAATAATTCACTGCAAAGATGTCACTTTTCCCCCTATAACTTATCTAGTGAATATGCTACAAAAACTAAATTAAGAAGTTAGAATCAATAAACCCAGAATACCATTACACCTCCCACCTGCTTGCTAATACCTCCCCCGCCTCCAAGAAAGCAAAAACGAAGGAAAAGGCGTAACTTCCACTGTTAATAAAATTTTAAATAAAGAACTAGTTCTCTCGTTAATACTTCAGTTCCCACAATGACATAATTCTAGCATTCAGATGACTATCATAAAAACCAAAACAGAAGAAAGGCAAACAGCTCAAGAACTTACTGTGATTTCTAAGTGAGAGATGTCTCTCATGATGCCACTGCCTAAACAGATCAACACCATGAAAAACCCAAACTCCCGGATGGAACTAATCCTTCCAATCACTATATCGCCACGCTCCACGTCTCGGAAAAACAGTTCTCGCCGGTCCATACTGGGGATCTCCATGAACTGCTCTAAAGGCGGCATGACTGCATAGTGTTCTGAAAACCACAAACAGAGCCGCTACCATTCCGAGTTCACGTTCATCTGGCAGTAACTGCTCCACCGCGTCGCAATCTTGAAGACTGTCCGGGCTCAAGACTCACCTTCATGGTCTTCATTAACCTCAGAAACGGCCTGTGCATCCGATTTCCAGGAAAGCGCAAACAGGAGATCCGCTTTTTTGGAAATGAACTGTTGTATTTCAATATTGTCAATTCTCTTCTCTTTTCTTAAAAAAAAGGAAAAGAAACGAAACCTATGACAACGGGTTTATCATCCGCAAAGCTTTCTAGGACGGCTTTCAACGCTCATCTGACTTCATCCCGAATGTCAGCCTCCCACCCATCGCGGGGGGGAAAAAGTCCGCGAGCGGAGGGGGGGGGGCGGCTAAAGGAAAGCTCGAGGCGCGGAGTGAGCGACCCCGTGACGCGGCCAGGCCACGCCAGCGGCAAAGTTGGGACCGGAGCTCGCGCTACACGCCCGCCGGCGCGGCGCGTCCCCGGGGCCCTCGCCCTCGGCGCCGCCGTCCCGGGGAGCAGCCTCACGGCGCGTCCCCGCCCCAGTGTGGGCGCCGCGGCATTCACCTGCCCGGGAACTGCTGGAGCGGCGGGCCCCGGGCAGGCTCGGCCGCCGAGCCCAGGAGGCTCCGGAAGTGCGGATTGTCGTGCTGCTCGCTCCGGAGAAGGGAGAGCAGCGACGGGCCGTGGCAATTCAGCGACTGCCGCAGAAGGTCCCGGTCCATGGCCGGAGCTTGTGGGGCCTGGCGGCCGTGCAAGCGCTGACTCCTCCCAGCCCCGCACCCGCTACTTCAGCGCGGCGATCTCCGAGGGACCCGCCGCACTGGCCGACATGGTGGTCGCCCGGAAGTGCTCCGAGCCTCCCGCGACCGGAACTCATCCTGGTCTCGCGAGCCCGCGCGAGACTACGGAAGCCGTAAAGCGCAGGCGGGGCAATTTCCGCGTTGGGGAGTTTGAAGAGCTCGTTTACGAGAGGGGCTCGATTTTGTGTTTGAATTTCCCCAGTATCCGTGTTACAGTGAAGTGAGTGTGTGTGGTTTTTTTTAAAATCATCTTTTAAGTCATTTTATTGGGGCCTCATACAACTCATCACAATCCATACATAACATACTTCAATTATGTAAAGCACATTTGTACATACATATTACCTCCGCCCTGGGGGATGGACAGCAGAAAAGTGGGTGACGAGAGACGTCGGACAGAGTATGATATGACAAAATAATAATTTATAAATTATCAAGGGTTCACGAGGGAGTGGGGAGGGCGGGGGAAAAATGAGCTGATGCCGGGGGCTTAGGTGGAGAGCAAATGTTTTCAGAATGATGAGGGCAATGAATGTACAGAAGTGAGTGGTTTTTACGAGTCTTTCAATGAACATTACGAAGAGCCTTTGCCTCGAACAGCATTGAGCCTCTTCTAAGTGCTTTTCCTGGAGCAAGATCCCAAACAAGTCCAAGTTCTTTCAGTGGATCTGCTCACCCTAACCTTGGAAAAGTGGTTGGTGGGGGAAGATTTCTGGTTGGCTAACTTGCTAAACAAAGGGAAGATGCCAACATTATGAAGCACTGGACTTGAATTTCCCATCCATACCCCATTCACGGTTACTGATGCCGCTGATAAAACGTTTGGGAGTAGCGACACCAGGAGGGGGATGGGAAGGTGGGGGGAGGAAGGGGGAACCGATCACAATTATCTACATATAACCCCCTCCCAGGGGGACGGACAAAAGAAAATTGGGTGAAGGAAGATGGCGGTCGGTATAAAAGCCTAGGGAAAAAAAAAAAGATAAATTATCAAGATGAGTGAGAGAGGGTAGGTAGGGTAGGGGGACAGTGAGCTGATATCAAAGGTTCAAGTAGAAAGAAAATGTTTCGAAAATGATGATGGCAACATATGTACAAATGTGCTTGACACATGAATGTATGGCTTGTGATAGCTATATGAGCCCCCAATAAAATGATTTTTTAAAAAATTTCGATGCTTGCCACTGTTTTAGCCAAATACAGAGACCAGGTTGATTGAAGAAATTGTAAGCTTATTTCTGCGAGCACTTGATGGAAGGGAGCATAAAGCCTCCCAAAACTGCTTACAAAAAATCAAAATCAGTGAAAGGCAAGCAAATTATCTACCCTCAACTATGTGGTGAGTTAAGGGAGTGTTTGACAGGTTTGTTACAATGAACAGAGGGCTTCAGCAAAGGGACAAAGGAGGATGGTTCCCAGGAAAGGGAGGCGTGCAGTCACTCCCTGAAAGTCCCAAACTCCATCCCTTATCTAAGAGGCCTTGCTTGCCCAGATGGTTTTGTTTGTCCAAACTTGCTGAATCAAGACATTCTTAAGTTTAAAAGGAATTTTACTGCAAGGAGTGGGGCGGGTGGTGGCTGTTACTTGTGGGTTTTCTGCAAAGTCTTCAACAGACCATGTCACATTTCCAGAGTTGATTAACAGCAGGCTAACTCTATTTCCCCCTGTATCATTAGTAATTTTAGTGTCATCCTAAAGCCACATGGCTTTAATGTCAAGACATCTCTGCGAATATGTGTGAATGTGAATATGTATGTGTGACTACGACATATAATATATGCATATAATATGCACATAATATATACATATATCCACATAGTTTGAGTTTAGCTACTACCCTGAAGGTTGGTGGTGCAATCCACTCAGCAACTCCTCCATGGAAGGCAAACTTGGCTACCTCCTTGCCAAAGATTGCAACTCAGAAAGCCCGACGGATCAGTTCTAGTCCTCTGGGTTACCATGAATTCCATGGCAATGTGTTTGCTTATATCTACCCAACTTTATTTCTTCACTGTGTCTCTGGTTACTCCACATTTGGTGTCCATAAATTGTACAAAGTGTTGTGTACCCAGAAGTCAACACACTGTGCTGTTTTCAGGTGCTGTGGGTTGGTTCCATCTCAGAGCAACCCCATGTGATAGTCGAACTTTTCCCTATAGGGGTTTCTAAACTAATCATTATAGCGCCAGATCACCAGCCCTCCCTCTAGTGGTCTGCCTGGGGGGCTAGAACCAAAGACCTTTTGATTAGCAGTCAAGAGTTTGGACCCTTTGGTGGTTGTTGCTGTTAGGTGCCATTGAGTCGGCTCTGACCCTTAGCAACCCTATGCCCAATACAACAAAGCACTGCATGGTCCTGCGCCATCCTCACGATTGTTCCTAAGCCTGAGCCCATGGACTCAGCCACTCTTTCAATCAGCTTGTTGAGGGTCTTACTCTTTTTCACTGCCCTTCCACTTTACCAAACATGATGTCCTTCTCCAGGGACTGGTCTCTCTTGACAACATGTGCCAACTATGTAAGATGAGGTTTTGCCATCTGCCACTGAGGACACTGGCCTTACTTCTTCCTATAGAGATTGGTTTGTCCTTTGAGCAGTCCATGTTACTTTCCTTATTCTTCTCCAGCACCACAATTCAAATGCATCAATTCTTCCTTCAGTCTTCCTTTCTTAGTGTCCAACTTTTACACACATATAATGCAATGGAGGTTACCATGGCTGGAGTCAGGCACACCTTAGCCCTCAAAGCAACATCCTTGCTCTTCAATACTCTAAAGAGGTCTTGTGCAGCATATTTACCTAATGCAATACATCTTTTGATCTCTTGACTGCTGCTTCCATGAGCACTGATTGTGGATCCAAGGAAGACAAAATCCTTGCCAACTTCAATCTTACCTCCATTTATCATGATGTTACCTATCAGTCCAGTTGTGAGGATTTTGGTCTTCCCTACATTGGCTTGTGATTTGTCCTGAAGACTGTAATCCTTGATCTTCATCAGCAAGTGCTTCAGTCCTCACTGTCAGCACTCAGGGTTGTGTCATCTGCATACCACAGACTGTGAGGAGGTCTTCCTCCAAGCCCGATGCCACATTCTTCTTCAGATCACCCAGCTCCTCTGATGATCTGCTCAGCATACAGATTGAAGAAATAGGGTAGTGGGATACAATCCTGATTTTAAACCATGTAGTCTCCCCTTGTTCTGCTTGCACAATTGCCTCTTGATCCATGTACAAGATCTTCATGAGCATAATAAAGTGTTCTGAAATTCCCATTCTTCTCAAGGTTACCCACAGTTTATTACTGTCCACACAGCCAAATGTCTTTGCATAGTAAATGAAACACAATAAACATCTTTCTGGTAGTCTCTGCTTTGAGCCAAAATCCATCTGATATCAGCAACAATATCCCTTGTTCCACCTCTTCTGAATCTGCCTGGAACCTCTGGCAGTTCCCTAGCAATGTGCTGCTGCAACCATTTACTTGCATGTGATATCGATGATATCATTCTATAGTTTGAACACCTTTCTATAGTTGCATCACCTTTCTTTGGAATGGGCACCAATATGGGTCTCCTCCAGTCAGTTGGTCAAGTAGCTGTCTTTCAAATTTCCAGGCATAGAAAAGTGAACACTTCCAGTGCTTCGTCAGCTTGCTAAAACATTTCAGTTGGTATTCCATCAATTCTGGGAGCCTTGTTTTTGGCTAAGCTATCAGTGCAGATTGAACTTCCTTAAATACCATTGGTTCTTGCTCATATGCTACCTCATGAAATGGTGAAATGTCTACTAGTTCTTTTTAGTACAAATGATTCTATGTATTCTTTAAGTTTTCTCTTGATGCTTCCTGCATCATTCAGTATGTTGCCTACAGGATCTTTCAAACTTGCAACTTGAGTCTGAAGTTTTCCTTGAGTTCTTTCGGTTTCAGGTATGCTGAGCAAGTTCTTCCCTTTTGGTTTTCTAATTCTAGGTGCTTGCACCTTTTGTTATAGTGTTTGCCTTTGTCTTCTCAAGCTGCCCTTTGACATTTGGTATTCAGCCCCTTGACATCATTCTTTCTTCCATTCACTTTAACTACTCTATGATTAAGAACAAGTTTCAGAATCTCTTCTGACACCCATGCTGATCTTTTCTTTCTTACCTGTCTTTTTGAATAACCTTTTGCTCTCTTCATGAATGATGCTCTCGATGTCTTCCCCCAGCTCATCAGGTCTGGACCTAACAGAGTCATGTTAGATAGAATGTACTTCCCCCAGCTATACTCAAAACTTGGGCTGTGTTGCCACCTTAGACTAGCACTGCTCTTGAATGCGGGTAACCACACTAGTCAAGAAAACTCGTTATTCACACCCCAAATACCACACTCACCCCAGGAGATATAATTTGAGGTGTATCTGCAGACAGGCTATGTGGCAGACAGCCCTTTGACTTTAAGGGAAGCAGAGTCCTGGCCTGTGAAGACGGAGTGGAGGGGACAAGGGAAGACAAGTGAGAAGAGACAGAGAAGGGAACCAGGGACACGAAAGTCAAACATTAAAAAGATCCAAGACTTAATCCTAGCAGTTAGATGACTTTCATCCTGATCATCTTCCTACTCCACTTTCTCAAGAAAGAAAGAAAATAATTTACTAGAAATTTAGTTAGTTTTTTTTTTAATCTCGGAGAACACAGTGCCAGGTGGAGTTTCTTAAGGTAGATAAAGAAGAAGATACATTTCCTTTGTCCCACTGGTTTTGCTTTTGTTTTCCTCTAAAACACTCCCCCCCACACACACCCCAGCCCTTTAAAGGGGTTGGTAACCATTTGACTCAATAACATTTTCCAAGAAACCTTTCAAAATTAAGCAGTGTGAATAATTAAGGGACCGTGTGCAGGTGGAGGGAAAGAAACAGAAAGAGCAAGGTAGTCAGTATACATAAATATTTCATGTCTGGATCTGGGGCTTATTTTTGTTGAGATGTCAAATTCCATTTCTACATGAACATGCACACAATGTACCAAACGTTCTCTCGGTCCTGGAGA